CGAGGTTTGAATTTTTTCTTCAGTTCCTTGAGCTTAAGAAATGCTGAGCAAGTTTGGCCCTTTTGATTTTCTAACTCCAACTCCTTGGACATTTCATTGTAATATTTTGCTTTGTCATCCTGTGCTGCCTTTTGAAATCTTCTATTCAACTCTTTAGTATCTTAAATTCTTCCTTGTGCTTTGGCTTCTCTGTGCTCCAGTGCAATTTTCAGTCTCTTCTGGACCATCCATTTAGACACCTTAAAATCCTGGAACAGAACTTACCCTGTGGCTGAACTTTAAACAATGTTGTTGTAAAGTGCTTTCGACTTAACACATCTGAATCCCGTCCTATCCTGTGCCATGCTCATCATCTCTGACATACTTGACCCCATTGCAATAACTGAAAATCTATCTCATTAAGGGTCTTCCTCTTTCCCTGACGTTATACTTTTCTAAGCATGACATCACTTTTCAAGGAATAGCCCCTCTTAGCAACATGTCCAAGGTATTTGAGATGAAGCTTCACCATTTTTTTTAAATAAAACCCAGCTATCTTTTATTGGTGGGAAGCTTCACCATTTTTGTCTTTAAGGAGTATGCTGGCTGCACCTTTTCCAGGACAGATCTGTTTATTCTATTAGCAGTTCATTCAGTACTCTTCTGCAACACAACTCAAAGGCATCAATTCTACTTCTGTCATCCTTATTCACTGTCCAGATCATCTAAGATGTGCCTGAATAAGTTGGAATAAGGCAGTTTAGTCTTCAAACTGACATCTTTGCTACTTAGTATATTGGAGAGTTCTCTGACAGCCGACTTCCCCAATGCAATACATCTTTTGGTTTCTTGACTGATGATGCCATGGGTGGTATTATGGGTCCAAGTAAGATGAACTCATTCACAATGTAAATCTTTTCTCCATTTATCATGATGATGTTTATCGAGCCAGTGTTAAGAATTTTTGTCTTTTTGATGTTGAGACACAATCCATGTTGAAGGCTCTAGTCTTTGATCTTCTGCAGCAAGATTGTACCATCTGCATGATAAAAGTTGCTGATGACTCATTTTCCTATATTGATGCACATTCTTCATCACAGAGTCCAACCTCTCGAACAGTTTGCTCAGCATACAGAATAAACAGGTATAGAGAAATGCTGCATACCTTTCTGGATTTCAAACCGTGCCATGTTCTCTTGTTCTGTTTGGAAAACAGTTTCTTGGTATAGGTTTTATATGAGCATAATTATGTGTTCAGTTATTCTCAATCTTTGAAATATTAACCATAATTTATTATGATCCACACAAAAGCCATTACATAGTTAATAAAGCACAAATATACATTCTATTGGTATTTTATTTCTATCAAGATCCATCTGACATCAGCAATGATATTCCTAGTGTCACATTCTCTCCTAAAGAATGTTTCAACTTCTGGCAGTTCTCTCTCAATGTACTGTAATAACTGTTTTTGGCTGATCTTCAGCAATATTTTGCTTGCCTGTAATAGTAATGATATTGTTCGAAAATTTGCACATTCTGTTGGATCACTTTTCTTGGGAATGAGAACAGATAATGGATCTCTTCCAGTTTGCCAGGTATTCCAAATTTCTTGGCACAGACTGATGAACACATCCAGGGCTGTGTCATTTAAAACATGTCACCTGGTACCACACTTATTACTGAAGTCTTCTTTTTTGCCAAAGCCTCCAATGCAACTTGACCTTCTTCCTTCATTACCACTGGCTCCTTATCATATGTTACTGCCTGGAATATGTCAGTATCAATCAATTCCTTTTTGTACAGTAACTATATTCCCTCCAGCTTCTTTTGATACTTCATAGATCATTCAAGATTTTGCCCATAGCATCTCTCAGTATTACAACACAAAGCTTAACTTTCTCAGTTCTTTCAGCTAGAGAAATGCCAAGCCAGTTCTCTTTTTATTTTCTAACTCACATTCTGTTATAATATTTTGCTTTGTCTTCTTGAGCTGCACTTGAAATCCTCTGTTCCTTTCTTTTTATTTCTGCATCGCTTCTCTTTGCTTTGGCTTCTAATCACTGTAGTGCAAAAGATTAAAAATACCACCAAGGAGGCACTCACTCCTTAGAACCATTAACCATACGAGATTAAAAGGGCAGGGATAAAGCTCAAATGGCAGGAAGGGAAAGGAAAGGCCAAATGGATATGGGAAACAGGGAAGTAGTGGGAAGAATGTGGCCAGAAAGTAGAAATTTTAATCAGTATCATGATGCAAAAATATATATGAACTGTTGAATGGAAAACCAATTAGTTCTGTAAACTGTTACTCATATAAAATTTAAAAAGAACATTATAATCTAATTCTACATCAAAATCTAACTGTAAATCATCACAAAGAATCCTCACGGGAGAGTTTTCTAAGGGAATATATTAACACATACCCTTATTATCCTGGCAGCCTCCAAAAGGATTCGGCAACGCTCCATGCCACAAAATTTGCTCCATATTTTAAAGGCATTCTTTGCATTTTGAACAGCCAAATTTACTTCCTTTTCTCCTGAACATGTGAAAGTTGCTATCACTCGTCCTATAAAGAGAAAGTCAATATTATCTCAAACTGTTGTTATACATTTATTTAAATAAAGTATCATGCTTTAATTTCATAATTGCCCCAAACCAGAAGTTCTTAACAAAATTGTGAGTCACTGTCCACACAGATAATTTTTAACATGTAGAAATGAGAAACATTGTCTTTATCTAGTGTTAAGATTTGTCACCCTTTTCTAGTTTTTTAATGCCAGTGAGTCTGTAGATGAAGCATCAGCCTAGGGTCATGGGACCTCCACTCAGAATGCAGTGAGCATGGCCAACAGTCAAGAGACTTAGTTGGGGCCACTGGCTTAAGAGATAATATAAATTAATCTGCTGGGTTTTAGATTTGTTTGATAACCATTATTAGTTCTTTTCCTCTAAATTCTCCCATTTGTGATAGAACTGTCAACTTTGAGTCTGTTCTACTACTATACTTGGAAAGCAGAAAACTTGAAATCTAGATTTACCAGATTCACTGAAGAGAAACTTTATGCCACTTTTATTTTGGACTTGGAGTGAATTAAGACATTTGAGATAATATGATAGGGTAAATGTGTTTTGCATGTGGCAAGAGTCTGAATTTTGAGAGCTCAAAGAGTGACATGTCATGGATTGAACTGGGTGCTTCTCCCCCCACCCCCCAAAATGTCAAGTTGATTAGGCCATGATTCTCCGTGCTTTGAAATTAGTTATCTCTTCATCACAAGAGATCAAAGAGAAGCAAGCAGACAGAAAGTGACTTCAGAACAACCAAGAAAGAAGAGTGTGCTTCCTGTAGTCATAGGGTCTCTGCACTGAAAACCTATTCAACTCAGGAGATCAATGTCAGGACACACACAGATCTTCAAGGCACACTAGGCCTAAAAGATGGTGAGAAGACAAGGATATTCCCCACAACTGACATAGAGAGAAAAACTTCCCCTAGAGCTGAAATCCTTAATCTGACCTCTGGCTTCCTATTTTCTCAGTTTGGGTGAGACAAGGGGTTTCTGCTTTAAAGCATTGAGAAAATCTGTGGTCAGGGACCTCTCCAGAGTACTGAGATGAAAGATGTAGATCTAGAGACTATGGTGTGCCTGATCCAGGCCATGGTCTTTCCAATTACTTGCTATGCATCAGAGAGCTAGAAATGACTGAGAATGATAGAAGAATCAATGCCATTAAGTTGTGGTGCTGGAAATGAGTCTTGAATATACCATGGATCATGAAGAGAACAGACAGGTCTGTCTTGGAGTGGGTGAACTAAAGTTTCTCCTTGGAAGCTAGGATTGTGAAGCTGTCTCACATACTTTGGGCATGTGGCCAGGAATAACCAGTCCTTGGAGAAGGACATCATGCTTGGTGGGTGGAGTGACAGGACAGGAGAGGAAGACTGGACTACAGGGACTGACATGGTAATGGAGGTGGGAGTATCAGAGTCAGTGAGACTGGTTTAGGACAGGGCAGGCTTCAGAACTGCTGTATTATGACAAAAACAGTCATCTGCTAGTGATTTTTTTTCTTACCTTTTTGAAACTACTTTTAACTCTCTTCAGAAAAAATACACTTATCTATATCACAAATTGCAAATCCAGCACAGATTTCTAGTTAAGAAACCCTATTTTCCTCTATTCTATAGCAAGATTTATTAACAGTGCTGTTAAGTGTTTTCAAGTTGCAATGACTCACAGCAAACTTATGAACACATATATACCTTGCTTTGTCCTACGCCAACCTCACCATCTCTGCCATGCTCAGCTCATGAAGTCACTGTGTCAATTAATCTCATTCAAAGCCTTCCTTCCTCTCTTTCACTATTTTCCCCAGATTTTTCCCCCCAAGGGACAATATGCCCAACACATATAAAACAAAATTTTTACATTCTTGCCTCTAAGGAACACCCTGGTTAAACTTCCTCCAACACATTTCTATGTTCCTTTTGTAGACCATTGTATATTTAACACTCTTTACCAACATCAAAATTATTTTAAGGCATCAATTATTCTTCTTTCGTCTTTAATCACTGTCCAACTTTTCATACACAGATTGTTGTTGTTGTTGTTGACAGGTGCCATCAAGTCAATTACAACTCACAGTGTCTCTATAAACAACAGATCCGAACCCTGATCTACCCTATGCCATCTTTACCTTTTCTAATTTACTCTAATCCATTGTTAGATACTGTGTCACTCCATCTCGTTGAGGGTTTTCCGTTCCATTGATGATTCCTCACCTTTTTAAGCATATGTTCTTTTCCCAGGACTGGACCCTCCAACAACATGTCCAAACACGTAAGATGAAGCTTCCTCATTCTTTTCCTCCAGTAAGTATCCTGCCTATATTTCCCTCATGACTTATTTGTTCTTTCGGCAGTCTTTTAGATATTCAGAACTCTTCTCTAACATAATTCAAAAACATCAGTTCTTCTGTCATTCTTAGTCAATGTCTAACTTTTATATGCATAACAGATAAACAAAAAACAATGGTTTTAATCAGAAGCACCTTACTCTTTAAACTAACATCATTGCTCCTTAATGCTTTATAGAAGTCCTTGACATCAGGTTTACCCAATCCAATGTATTTATTTGCTGCTGTGGCTGTCATGCACCATTGAGTAGTCTGCAACTCACAGTGATCCTATGTATATTAGCTCTGAAACCTGCCCTATCCTGAACCAATCTCATCATCTCTGAGAGACCTTATCCCACTTCTCTAGTCACTGAGTCAATCCATCTCATCCTGGTCTTCTCTCCTGAGCTGTTCCTCTCCAAGGATTCCACCCTCCTGACCACATGCCCAATGAGAGATGGAACCTCAAAATGCTTGCCTCCAGGGAGCAGCCTGGTTTCACCCTCTCTAAGACTGACCTGTTTCATCTCCTGGCAGTCCACAGTATGTTCAACACTCTTCTCCAGCACCACAAAGCAAAGGCATCAATCCTCCTTCTATCATCCTTAGTTATTGTCCAGCTCTCAGATGTATATCAAGTAAGTGTGAAAACCATGGACTTAGTCTCCAGACTGACTTTGTTGCTCTTCAGTATTCTAGAGAGGTTCCTGACAGCAGATTTTCCCAGTGCAATTCGTCTTTTGATTTCCTGACTGCTGGTGCCAAGAGTCTTGACTGTGGAACCAAGCAAGCTCAAGTTATCAACTATCTCAATCTCTTCTCCATCCATCATGAAGCTGCTAACTGGCCCAGTGGTGACAATCTGTTTGCTAGATGTTGAGCTTCAATCCATACTAAAGACTACAGTCCTTGACCTTCTGTAGTAAACACCTTATGTCCTCTTTGGTTTCAGTAAGCAAGGTTGTATCAGCTGCATACTACAGGTTGCTGATGAGTTTTCCTCCAATCCTGATGCCACTTTCCTTCTCACAAAGTCCAGCCTCCCTGAATGATCTGTTCTGCATTTAGAGTGAAAAGGTATGGAGATAGGATGCATCCCTGACACACAACTTTTCCTACTCTGGAACCATGCAGTGTTTCCTTGCTCTATTCTGACAACTGCCTTCTGGTCCAAATATAGGTTTCACATGAGCGCAATTAAGTGTTCTGGGATCCCCATTCTTCTCAAGGTTAGCCACTATTTGTTGTGATCCAGTCAAATGCCTTTGCATAGTCAATGAAACACAGATAGGCATTGCTCTGGTATTGTTGAAGATTATTTTTTTAAATGTCTGGAGTGTGCAATGTCAAGGTGCCCAGTGAGATGGAAAAGGCCCAGATGGGCACCTTCACTAATCTGGAGGCTAACTACTGGCCAGGTTTGTCACAGACACAGGTTCTAGACTAAAACTCTGCACTCTTCCAGCTCTAGACACAAGATGATGTGGTCGTGGCCTTAGAAGAGCTGGGGCTGGCTTGGGGGAAACTTGTCAAGCACCTGGTTAGTGGTAGAGGCAGAGGGAAGTAACTCTTCTGATCTCCAGGGGGGCCACAGGAGATTGCATCTTCTCCTTCATCAGCCAGCCACTGTTGTGGATACAGCGACTGCTGCTGTCACTGCTGTCGTGGCTTCCATGCAACAGAGATAGCTGTTCAAAATGGCCACATGCACTGTTTATGGGTCTGTGTCTATTGATCTTATTTCATGGTTTCACAGTTTCTTTCTACAGGGTTTGAAGTACTATCTTGCCATTTTTTATTTAAACTGTGGAGTCCAGGATTATCGTGCATATATACTGTCTTTGTCTTCTGCTGTCTTCAGCACAGAGATTCTGAAGTGAAACATACCTAGTCTTGTCATTTGCCAGAAAGCTGACTCAGAAAATTACTCTATCTGCATCTCACATACATTGGTCATGCTGTCGGAAAAGGGCCTGTCCTTGAGAAAAGACATCATGTTTAGAAAGGCAGAGATTTGGCAAAGCAGAGGAAGATCTTCAACGAGATGGGCTGACACAGTGACTGTATCAATGGGCTCAAGCACCTCAAACATGATGATGGCAGAAGACAGGGCAAGGCACAGATTCATTATTCATAGGCTCACTATGAGTTGCAGTCAACTCAAGAGCACCTAACAACAATAATGACAACAATATGATTCATAAACGACAGTATCAAGAAATAATGCTCCTAAAAGAAAGGAAGGGATGTGTGTCTGCATGTGTGTGGAACTCTGGTAGTATAGTCCATAGACTTGTGCTGCTAATCAAAGGCTGCACCTCTCTGGAAGTTCAAATACACTAGCAGGACCTCAGAAGAAAGATGGGCAATGCCCTACGTGATTTATAGCCTCAGAAACCCTTTGGAAGACTGGCTATGACTCAGTTCCAACTTGATACCAATGGATGAGGGAAGGAGATATACAGAGTTACATTTGTTGTTGTGTACCATTGAGTTGAAACAGACCTATAGCTGACCCTCCAGGAGCAGGTTTTCAAAGGCACTTAACTGCACAGGCGGAGATTGCCCATCCTTCTCCCATGGCAGAGCTGGTGGACATGAATGGCATGCTTTCAGGACTGCCGCACATCTTCTTGCCACCACACATATGTATCTAAAACATGGAAATATCCAATATCTAGAGGGGATTTTGTGCAAGTGTGTAGTATAGGGATCTCTGGTAGCCACGTGTTAAGGAGCTATACTGCCAACCCAAATAAATGTAGCTTTCCACAGAATTCACAAGATGCTTGGCAGGAGAAAGAATCTCCTCCCCTGTGTAATTATGGAGCTCTGACGGCTTGATGTTATTAGATTCTGCCAAGTCGAATATGACTCTTAGCAACACTATGAACAATAGGTCTGAACCATGTCCTATCCTGTGCCATCCTTACAATCTCACATACTCAAGCTCATTGCTGTAGTCACTGTGTCAATCCACTTGGTTGAGGGTCTTCCTCTCCTTTGCCATCCCTCCAACTTTCTAAGCTTAATATCCCTCTTCAAGGAATAGCCTTTCCTAGATGAAACTTTTTTTCCCCACCCGCCTCCTGGGAGCACTCTGGCTGCATCCTTTCCAAGACATGTTTCTTCTTTTGGCAGTTCATAGGATAGTCAGTATTCTTCTACAATACTACATTTCAAAGGCATCCATTCTTCTGTCATCCTTATTCACTTTTCAGCTCTCAGATGCATATCAAGTGACTAAAAAGATCATAGCCTGAATCAGACACACCTTAGTCTTCAAAGTGACATAAGTGTTCCTCAATAATTTGGAGAAGTCCCTCATCACTATAGACTTTGCCACTGCAATACGTTTCCTGTTCTCCTGACTGTTGGGACTTAGTGGTAAGGAATCATGCTATCAACCCAAAGACATGTGGTTCAAATCAACCAGCTGATCCATGGGAGAAAGATGTGTAATCCCCTTCCATGTGATTCACTGGCTCTGAAAACCCATTGGAGAGTCTTTTACAAATCAGTCCCTATGCAACAGTACACAAGAACAACATCCCTATTCTAAGGAGCCATAGCAGTGTAATGTGTTACGTGTTGGGCTGCTAACTGAAAGATCAGTTATTCAAACATAAGAGCCACTGTTCAGGAGAAAGATGAAACAGTATGCTCCTATGAATGTTTACATCCTTAGAAACTTGACTTGGGTGGCTTCTTTTTATGTGCTGTCGAGTTGTAGATGACTCATAACGACCCTATGAACAAAAGACCTGAACACTTGTATAACTTTCATCATTTTTCCAAGTTCGTAGTGTTTCCCGAAGCAAGCTATTTCAGAAGTGGATGCCACTCCTGCTTCCAAGCTTATTTTAATCAGGGAATTCCACTAAACACTGTCCACCATGGGTGACCATTATCATATCTGACACATCAGTATCACTGTATTTAGCATCACAGCAGCCACAAGTTACCTACCTATGTACAGCAAATGGGCAGACCAGTGCTATTCCACTTAGAAGAATATAATTATCAATTCAACAGCAGTGGATTTGGAATTTTCAAAATTCAAGAGCACTGGTGGTACACTGGAATAAGTGTTGGGTTTCTAACCAAAAGTTGGAACCCACTAGTCATTCCACAGGGGAAAGATTAAGGCAGTCTGCTCCTAGAATGATTTACAGCCCAGGAAATTCTATCGAGTGGTTCTGTTCTGGCCCATGCGGTCACTATGAAGCAGAATTGGCTTGGTACAATGTTTTGTTTTAGTCCCTATTATAGACATGCCCAGGAAAGATTTGTCCCTTAAAAAAAAAATCATGATTGGTAAAGTGGTGGGTCGGTAAGAGGACTTTCAATACAATGTACTACTGATAACAGTATATAATAATGGATCCAAAGCAACAATTTTTTATAACTGTGTAGTACTTGGCATTATTTTATTTTCTTGTGCACAGAGCTACTCTCAGTTGGAACTTATCTGGTAGCAAATAACAACATTCCCATTCTGAGACAAAAGAGGAAATGTTCTGTTTTCTGTCTACCCATATCTGGACTCATTTTGCAAGAATTCCTTTATGTCAATTCAGCATTTCCTCTGCCTTTCCCACAAAAACTGCAAGCATAATGCTTTTTTCCAGAGATGATACAAAATCTGCAATTTCTGTACTGGAAAGGGTGAGGCCATTCCCCCACATGTAAAAGCTACTGTTAGTTGCTTCTGGGTCAGAAGCAGCTGACTCGCCAGCTGGATTCAGAAGCTGTGAACAGCAAGGGTTGCCACCTGTCTCCGGTGGAGCAGCTGGTGAGTTCCAACCGCCTGCCTGCTCTTGTGTTGGCAGCACAACTACTTACCACTAAGTCACCAGCGAAGGGGGGCAATCTCTGAGTCCCTTCCTGCTCTTGACAAGCCACTGCTCTTTCCCATACAAGTCAGTTTTGTCATCTCGGCTAAATACCATTCAGGTATACACATTCTTCCTCCCCATAAATATTCCATACAACTTAGCCAAACAAAGAACTCCTCTTAGTTATCTTCAGCATTGTCAGGGTAAACCCTGCGCCGGCCCAGCACTGTGTGCTACGCATTATGAACTGTGGACCAAGGCTGGGGTTCTGTTAGTACCCATGTCTGATTCATGAACAGAAACACTTTAACCCTAAAAAAATGGATTTTTCTACGATCACAATACCGCAACAAGGTCTTGATGCATGTTCTTCAGCAAGTATCTGAGTGCTCCCTTAACAAGTGTTTCATCACAAACATTTGTCGCCGCCCCTTCTCCCCCCCACCCTCCTTCCGGAAATGATCCTCATGCAGGGCGCTGGAGACATGGCAGCAGTCACAAATTAGAGATTCACAAATTAATAATTAACCACGGCACAACTTGATGCATCAGGAATTTGTGGCCTCTCTTCGTCAGGTTTGTAAATTACCCATCATCCCAAGTCTCAACAGCGCAACTTGACTACCTTTTCCTCTTTTCCACTCCCTTCCCATCCCTGTCAAGCATGATTTTTGCACAGAACAATTAGGTGCCTAAACACAAAACTCTACAGACTCGTATCTGTACTCAGTAATGTTTTGCTGGATGAAGGTTCAGGGAAGAAAAAACGTGTGCTGCAGAGAATGCGAGAGCGTCAGCTCGCGCGCCGGCCCTGCCGCCCACGGCCTCCCTGACTCCCGCTAAATTACCCGTCGCTGGCTCGAAAGCCTTCTCGGTGCCGGAAGAGTCGGCTGGCTCCACGTAGGACCCGTTGCGGTAATTGAGTGGCCGTGACACGACAAAGGTGCCAGTACTCATGGTGGCTTTGGAAGCTGGCCGGAAAACGCCAAGAAGCGGAGCACGCGCACCCAGACCCACTCTGAGAAACATGGGAGGACGCCCGAAACTCCGACTCCGCCAGAAAAGCCGCGGGGCGGGGCCTCAGGAAGCTGCTTGCAGCGGGGGGCGGGGCGAGCGGAGGGGCGGGGATTCCTGGGCGGGGCTGACACCGTGGGTGGGGGTCCAACTCGCCATAGCTGTAGGATGATGCCTGTGACTTCCTTCCTCCTGATGACCATTGCTTATGCTTTGTTTGTATTGTTACGTACCATTCAATCGGAACCGTTAATCCCAAAGGAGGAGATTACCCATTCTCCTGCCCCCCTCCCTGCAGAGCACCTGGTAGATTCTAACTGCTTGTCTTGCAGCCTGATTGCAGCGCAGCTTGTCACTAGACATCCAGAGCCCCATCTATAAAGCTTAGTTTATAAAGCCCATAATATGCTCTATTTTTTGTCTTTTGTTTCCTGGGACATCATAGGATCTCACTCTTGATCCTATACCCTGAAGAAAGCAGAGGACTGGGTGGAGTATTTAGCTTGCCATAAAAGACTCGGGAAATTACTTCATTCTTGATCCATCTTTTTTTTTTCTTTGTCTAGTGTTGTTAGGTGCCATTGAATCGACAACAACTCATAGCGACCATATAAACAACAGATCTGAACTCTGCCCTGGCTACCCTGCCCTCACCAACTCTGCCAAGCCCAAGTAGTCACTGTCAATTCATTTATTTGAGGATCTTTCTATCGTCAACTCGATACTCTCCCTAGAATTCTCTCTTTAAGGACTAGTTCCTCCTGACAAAATGTACAAAGTGAGGCAAAAGTTTCACCATCCTTCTAAGGAGCACTCTGGTTACACTTCCTTCCAGGCATATTTGCTTGTTCTTTTGTCAGTCCAAGTGATACTCAATACACTTCACAAACACCACAATTCATAGGCATTGATTTTTTTTTATCTTCTGTATACTAAAGTTTATAAAAGGAAATCTAATGGCATAGCCCTTAGTGACTCTGTGGGAGAAACATGGGTAATCTGTGTTAAGATTTACAGCCTTGGAAAACCCCATGAAGATTGCTATGAGTCAAAATTAATTTAATGGTAATGAATTTCCTTATTTTTCTTGCTTTCAAAAGTAATAGTAATGACCAAAAAGAACTTTGTATGGTCTAAAGGTTGAGTGTTGAGTTGTTAACAAAGTTGTTACTCACAGTTGCTCAGAGGAGAAAGAAAAGGCAACCTGTCCCCTAAAATGTCTTGGGAACCCGATGGGGCAGTTATATTCCATCTTTTTTTTTTTTTTTTTTGTGTGTGTGTGTGTGTGTGTATGTGTACTGTCAAATTGGATCTGACAGGTACAGGAGGAGATTGCCCTCCTTCTCCAGCAGAGCATCTGGTGGATTCAAACCACATACCTCTGGGATTGCAGTGCAGCTTCTTGCCAGTAGGCGACCAGAGCTCCCTATATCCCATCTTATAAGACAGCTTTGAATAAGAATTGATGACCATGAGTGGGTAAAGATTCATTTAGATGTGAGGCACTACGCTATGAAATTCTCTTAAATTATAAAAAAAGTAAATGCTATTCATTTAATGGCAAATAGTGAAACAAACAGAAGCTCAATATACAAGATGCAGAAAGCAAAGTCTACATGGAAAAATATGAGGAATAAAGGCCTTTTATACTAAAACCTACTACTAACAGGCATTCATAAGGTGTCAGCCAAGGGATCTTACAAAGACAGCCTTGTTCATTCTTCTTACCTCTTAGACATGCATAGCAGAGACTTTTATGAACAGAACAGTAATTAACAGTTCAATACTGTCTTACTTCTAAGATCTAGAGTCTTTCTCAATGTTTTGTAAAGTAACTGTTGTTATTTCTCTTTGAGTGACTCATGGTGACCTCATGTGTTATAGGGAAGAACTAATCTATAGAATTTTCTTGGCTAGGATGTTAATGGAAGCCGACTGTAGAACTATTTCTTCCTTAATACTACTAGATGGGTTCAAACTGCCTTCCAGTCTTATATTGAAACTATTGTTGTTAGGTGCCATCAAGTCAAGTATGACTCCTAAAGACCCTATGAACAACAAATCTGAACTCTGTCTTATCCTGCATCATTCTTATCATCCTCCACACACTTGAGCCCATTGCAACAGGCATTGTATCAATCCATCTCATTGAGGGTCTGTCTTCCTGTCCTTCACTGACCCTCCACCTTTCCAAACATAATACCCCTTTACAAGGAATAGCCCCTCCTGACCTAAAGTGCTTGCTGCAGAAGGTCGAGGACTACAACTTTCAATATGGATTGAAGCTCAATGTCAAGAAAACAAAGATTCTCACCACTGTGCATATTGACAGTATCATGATAGAGAGTGAAGTGATTGAGATTGTTATTAGCTTTAGTTTCCTTGGCTCCACAATTAACACTCTTGGTACCAGCAGCCAGGAAATTAAAAGACTAATTGTATTGGGAAAATCTGCTATCAGAGACATTTCCAAAGTACTGAAGAGCAATGATGTCAGTCTGGAGACCAAGGTGCACCTGATCTAGTCTTTGCAATTACTTCCTGTACATCGAAAAGCTGGACAATGCCTAGGGATGACAGAAGGAGAATTGATGCCTTTGAGCTGTGGTGCTAGAGAAGAGTACTGAATATACTATGGACAGCTAGGAAAACAAGCAGATTCATCCTAGAGAGGGTGAGACCAGGTTGCTGCTTGGAGACAAGGACTCTGAAGCTTCACCTGACATACTTTGGACATGTTGCAAGGAGAGGAAAGAGATATCATGTTTGAGAGGGTAGATGGACAGTACAAGAGATGAAGACCCTTGATGAGATGGATTGATTCAGTGACTGGGGTAATGGGGATAGATGTGTAAGAGACAATAAGATTGGCACTGGATAGAGCAGGGTTTAGGGCTGTTGTATATAAAGTCACTGTGAGTCACAGGTGACTCAGTGGCACATAACAACAACAACAAGCTCAAAGTATGCAAATTAACACTTCACCATCCTTGCCTTCAAAGGAGTCTAGTTGTACCTTTTCCAAGACATCTCTTTTTTTTTTCCTCCTTTTTTTGCAATTCAGCACTCTTCTCCAACACTACAACTCCAAGGCATCAATTCTTAATCTTGTCATCCTTACTCATTGTCCAGCACTCAGATACATACCCGGTTATTGGAAAAACCATGGCCTGAATCAGGCACACCTTAATATTACATCCTTGTCCCCTCTGCACTTTCTGAGAGATTCCTGAGAGCCAACTTTTCCAATGCAATATGTCTCCTGATATCTGGACTGCTCACACCAAATGTGTTGATTGTAGATCCAACCAAGATTAAATCGCTAACAATTGCAATCTTTTCTTCATCTATCATGATACTGCCTAAGAGCTCAGTGATGAAGGTTTTTTTTTATTTTCTTAGTGTTGAGATGTAATCCACATTGACGGCTGCAGTCCTTGATCCTCTATAGCAAGCAGCTCATGTCCTCCTCATTTTCAGCAAGCAATGTTGTATCATCTGCATGCCAAAGGTTATTGATTAGTTTTCCTCCAATGTCCAACATTATTCTTCATAAAGTCCAGCTTCTCTAATGGTTTGCTCAGCATATAGGGGGCATGATCTTCAGGTTCAGGGTAGAAATAAACTGTTCTGGTTAAATTTTACATGATTCAACACCAGTTTGTTAACTGTCTCAATACCACTGGTTTTGTTTCCTTAAATGGAAACAGCAGTGCTAATATAACACTCTGGGCCAAACTCAAAACTATATCGTTGGTGTCATTGGCATTAGCCACAGAAGCCTGTCTGGAATTGATTATAAGATCCATAGACTTCATGGACCACTGGATTATATATGATCACTTATGTACACAGAGACTATGAATCTAAAGTTTTACAGAACAATCCCTAACAAAGGCATTTTTTTTTCTACCTCCAACAAATATACATTGAATCATCATCTCTTGACTCCTAATATTTGTTTTAGAAATATGTCAATTCATAGATTTTTATAGAGGAGGTTTTTTTAAATTTTATTATTTTTGTGTGCGTGTACCGTCAAATCAAATCTGACTGGTACAGGAGGAGATTGTCCCTCCTTCCCCGGCAGAGCAATTGGTGGATTCGAACTGTTCGCCTCTGGGATTGTAGTTGCAGCTCCTTGCCACTAGGCCACCAGAGCTCCCCTCAATTCATAGATTTTTAAAAAGACAGCCCTCCTCTAAAATATGTATCTCACTTGCTTCCTCTCATTCCATACACTGTCAGATCACTTTTTCTTGGAATGGGAATAAATACGGATCTCTCAGTTGCCAAAGTGGTTGTCCTCCAGATTTCTTGGCACAACCTGGCAAGCATGTCAGGTCCGTATCTTTGTTGAAATATTTCTATTAGTATACCAACAATTCCTGAGGCCTCCTATTTTGCTTGAACTTCCTCCTTCATCACCATTGCCTCATGGTTATATGTAGTTTCATAAAATTCTTCTGTCAGCCAATTTTCTTTGGTACAGTGACTCTGTGTATTCCTTCCATCTTCTTTTGATGCTTCCGGGATCATTCAACATTCTGCCCAGAGCATCCTTAGCATTGCAACTCGAGGCTTGAATTTGTCCTTCACTTCCGTCTGCTTAAGAAATGCTGAGCAAGTTCCTCTCAATTTTCCAAATCCAGCTCTTTGTACATTTCATTAAAATAATTTACTATGTCCTCTCACACTACCCTTTGGAATCTTCTGTTCAGCTCCTTAACTTCTTGATTTCTTCCCTTTCCTTTGGATTGTCGGCCCTCTAGTGCAATATTCAGAGTCTCTTTTGACATCCATCTTGGCTTTTTCTTCCTTCACATGCAAGAAAGATCTTGCTGAAGATTATTATCTGAAAATGACTGGAACAGTACATCCACAGAGAACTGCCAGATGTACAAGCTGAGCTTAGAAGAGGCTATGGCAGTAGGGACACTATAGCCAATGTTAGATGGATCTTAGCTGAAAGAAGACAATACCAGAAGAATGTTTATCTGTGTTTCATTGACTAT